AATAAAAATGCTTGTACAATCATAAAATATATACATAAAAACTATTCACATTCTGTGATTCTTTTATTTTTCTTTTCTCAAAACCATTTGAAAGACAGAGGTGTCGTCCTGTGTCCAGTCTGGGAGATCTACACTTTATGTATATACATGTTAAACATAACAGGCTTGACTGCTGTACTGTAACTATGAATTTCATAAATGCAATTATTTATTTTTCTTCACTTGAATTACATCGATGGCAGAATATCAAGGTCTTTAAATGATTTTCTAAGACAGGTCTGGTTTAAATCTTTCAACCCTCTTTATTTCCACGATTGATCATAATCAGGAAAATCAGCTCTGTGAGGTCTTTCTGAGCAACATCAGCTCTTACACAGAGAATAATTGTATCTGGAGCTCTGTAATATGATGGCTTTTTGTTTTTTGTAGGAGAAACACATATCAAACACAGGAAATACTGTCATGGTTTAATATTAAACATGTCAACAAACCATGACATGTTTAGATTTTAAATATTTAATGAAAACCACAATCTTTTACTAACATGCATGATTCTGAATCCTTCTCCCTGCATCAATGTAACCAGATGAGACATAATCCAGGCAGCAGTCACAGCATGCTGCCTTTAAAATGCGATCGCAGCATCAGTCAGAACTCTATGCATGTGATTTTTCAAGAATTGGATTTGCACAGAGCATACGTGACGTACTGCTTGCTCCTCGTCTTTACAGAAGGTTTGGATTTCATTTCAAGCCTCTCATTAGCACTTAAAGACAGTAAACAACAACTTAACCTGCAAGCTTGTCGGTTAGAGAGAGGTTAAAGTGTGATTTGCATTTAATATCTGTCACACAGTATAATGTGTGTGCTAAAGTTGTTTTGAGTGACTCCACACAAAGTGACAGAGGCTGAAAACCAACATACAAGCAGTCAGAGGTCTGTGTGTGTGTTCAGCAGTTATTAAATTACTGTAAAACTGTCAGCTGGTATTAACTCCAGATGTAACTCGGAAGAACTGATCTGTGTTTCCTATCAAAGCAGAATGCATCCCAGCTGGCTGATAACTTCCAGCCATTTTTGCTGTTGGGCAATCGACATAAAGCTTTAAAATTTATGTATGTATTTATTGAACATAAAATTCCAGCCTCTTTATGTTTTCTTTCGGTTTGTTTTTCCACTTCTGCTCAGTCACATCAAACTGATGTGAACACAGATGACTTAAACATCTAAAGGACTGGGGGAAATATGGCTGGAATTTAATTTATTAAAAATTATTAATATTTTATTAAATTAATAACTAAAAATGTATATATTTAGGCAATAAACCAAAGGAACTAATTGTATGCTAATCCGCCAGCATGTTAGGTAGGTCTGCTTGATTTATCTGTATTTTTAGCTTGTAATAGCAGCAACTAATGGAAGAATTTGTCATTTATTGATCATTTTTTAATCTAGAAGTAGCCAAGAATCTGTGAATACTAACATTATGATTTTTAAATACAAATGAGTCACAATCCAAATGTTTGAGAACATTTTGACTCATCTAACAAACTCACAAATTTTGGAGCATTTAAAGAACTCGGTTTTCTCACCACCAGTAGTTTTACTCAGTCTGTTGAAAAAAACAAAAAAAAATCTCTTTGGAAAATATTTTTATAAAGTCTTAAAAACTACCTCGAATGATGTCACAAAGGCATCCTCATGTTTATCCTGGGTTAGAAGCTTCTAACAGAAAGCTCATGTAACAAAAGCAGACTGTGATGGGCTAATGAGAGGTTATTCCATGGCATAATGGCAAATGTGGGATCCAATGTTGCTGGACTTTGAGGTACACCAAAGATTGATCTGTGAAAGCTTTAAACTGTTTTAATAATTATTTAATTTAATAATCATTCAATGTTTGGAGAAAAAAACATCTTTTAACTAATCAATCAATTAGAAAATAGTGAAAAAACAACAAAAAACAAGTGGCCCTCTCTTCTTACATGTAAGAGGTAAACATTTGCAGTTTTCCTCTCTCAAAAAACAAAATAGTGACATAATAATTTATGTCACTCAACAAATCATTGCAGTCAATCATTTTAATAATAACTTAATTTATTTTAAACTGTATCAACATATGGCGAGCTAGACCTTCAGTCAGACCCGCATTCTGTTGGTGGATGCTTTCTACATTTATTCTTCTATTAGTGCGAGAGAGAAAAAAACATTCTACGTTTTTGAAAATATTTATCTAAAGACGTAAGAGCCCTAAAAAACCAAGCGTGAAAATCAGTGCCATAAATATTCAGATAGAACCTGTTAGCATAGCAAAGAAGGATAAACGACTTGCAGTTATTGAACTTAAATAAAAATAAAAATAATAAAAAAATACCCCCCGCCCCACCCACATTAAATAAGTAAAAACGTAAATGGATAATAATTAACCATCATCATCATTATCATCATTATTATTATTATTATTATTACTGTGATTAATAATCGAGCTGTGACAGTGACACATGAAGGAGTGCGTATGTGACTGCTTTATCTACACCCCCACTCCACCCACTCAAGCACACACGCGCGCGCGCGCACACACCCAGGAGACCTCAATACGACCGTGTTGGGATGATAAATAGCGGGCCGGTAGGTCGGTGGATCGATCCCCCCTCCTCCTCTCTCACTCTCTCCCTCTCTCTCCCCTCCACAAACACAAAACTATATACGGCAATTAATTCCTGCTTGTCCCTCCATCCCTCATCGGCCCTGCCGGCGCGTATCGACTCAGATTACTGCTGATGGTCCGTTTTATCACCGCGGAATATACGCGCTCACACACACACACAATCTGCGTGCTGTTTAGGATCGCTGCCATAACGCCTGAAAGCAGAAGCGGCGGAGATGAATCCCGAGGTTACGGCACAGACGCCAAAGCGCCAGATTACAGGATTATTACAGCAGAACGAGACAGAGCGGTGACGCTGCAGCAGCAGAGAGCACGAAGTTTAACGTTTAAAGCAAAAGAAATAAAATGAAGTCCTCGTTATTCTCCTGCAAATTCTGAACACTTAAAAAAAAACAATGAGATCCGACTGAAATTAAGATGGATCACGGTGCAGCCACTTTAAAATCACCTTTTTTGTGTGGGAATGTTCTGGAAGTCGGAGATTAGAGTAATCAAAAACGGACCTTTTTTAAAGCAGTGAGCGAAAAATTCCTCCATAATGTTAGAAATGTTGTGAGGACATTAAAATAAAACTGCGCGACAGCAAAATAATAAGAATCGGGCTAATAAATGATTAAATTACAATAATAAATAAATTCTGACTGTAATGTTAAACTAATGGCAAACAATGCGATTTCAAAAACTTAAATTACGCTTGAACAAATCTGTTCAGTTCAGGATTTAACTCACTCGGTGAAAGTTTGATTATATTCAGAGGGTAATGCACATCACAACAGAAAACTGAATCACTGATATATATGAAATTAGAAGCATTTTTCTGGGTATTTAAGTGATTTCCTGATAGATGTCAAACTTTCCGAAACTTTAAATCAATCTCCACGTGCACAGCGGCTGTTTTCAGCGCTGAGCCTCCACCGTGAAGTATGCGTGTGTGTGTGTGTGTGTTTCTTTTAACGGGACGTCCCGACAGCACTGAAGAAACGCACCTCTAGGCCAGACTGGAGAGATTTTAACCGGCGTGTTCGTGCGTCTTTTACGCATGACAGCGCCTCGTCGATATCTGTGTAAACGTGTGTGAGGATTCACAGCCGATATCGAAGCTGGAGTTTAGTCGGCTTTAGAGTGAAAAATATCCGTTTTTAAGATGAAGATTGTCTTTTTTCGAAGAACACAAAAAAAGTAAAAGTGAAAAAACATTAAAACAAAATAAAACTAAGAAAAAAAATCTCTAAATGTTTCTATTTTTTAATATTAAATTTTATTACTTTTCGGGAAATAATCCGCAGCTTTGACCGGAGTGAAATGACAGCGCACTCTAATAAACACCCTTAAATGGTGCGTGAAGGCCGACAGGTGCAGAGAAAAGAGGCGTTTGTTTTTTAACATAAGATCCAAATGGACTCTGGTTAATATTAACTGTGAGCTGCAGGACTGCTGCTGTCTGAGAGCGTGATCCCAGGCCAGGCTGCTGACCTTTGACCTCTGACCCTCCAAGCCAACCACTATCCTCTCCTTCCAGCTCCTACTGTCCAGCACCGCAGCTGTCAAACCAACTGTAACGTCTCACACAAGTGCTGCATGACACGCTTTAAAACTGCAGTGAATGAAATTAAGTCTTACATTAGTTAAATCATTTTAGATTTGCTCGTAAACTTAAGTTACAAGTTTACTGCACTTTAATGACCAAATAAATCTGAAATTATGTGCAGTTTAAGGAGTGAATCACATGTCGAGTGATGGAGGAGATTTAAATACATCATTTTATTGGGAATCGTCTGTATAAATTATTGTAATTTCAAGAGGTTGTTTAGGTGGAAACCGATGCTGGCAGCATGCCACATATGTGTGTATTTTGAAAGAAATGCCGCAAAACAAAAGAGAAAATTATTGTGGTCCAAAAGAGCAGACGTTATGTGTTAATTTATCTTTAAAATTATAAAATATATATTTTAAAAGATTAGTTATAACTTTTCAAAAACTAATAAAAAATTTTTTTGCAGTAATAATACATAAATATTCATGGGAAATTATAGAAATAAGCAATTTTTTAAAATAAAATATTATAATTAGCAACACTCAGTGGTTAAACATTTTATTAAAAATTTGTTATTTTAGTTGTAGTAATAGGATTAAAAAACACCTGAAACGCTGAGCAGATGATTTTAAGCCCGACAGAAACACTACAGTGTGATTATAAGTACTTGATAGTTAAACACTGAGTACACCAAAAGGTCAAAGGTCATGGTCGAGCGCCATAGAAGGATTGTTAGAACTGAAGATTACAGGAGTGCTTCTCTAAATAAAGTGTGTGTGTCAGTGTGTGTGTACTTACGGTTGTTGAGCTCTCCCGTGTGGTTGCTCAGCGGGATGATCTCCATCCTCTGCTGTCCGTACAGATAGTAGTCCAGCTCCTCTGCCGTCAGCTTGAACCTCGTCACGGTCCCTTTGCCGCCCTCCTCGCTGCCTCCACTGCTGCTGCTCTTCACGCTGGACGACACCACTCCAACCCCCACCCCTCCGCAGCTCTGCTCTTTGGCCTGATGGAGGAGCCCAGCTGCTGGGTTGAGCCCCTGCGGGTTCTCTGGAGGGACCACCACCACTAGATCTCCTCCTCCGCCTCCTCCTGGTCCTCCTCCTCCTCCTCCAGGACCTCCAGGTCCAGCACACACTGGGGCCAATGCCTGCCCAAAAAGTGCGATCTGCTGGGGCACAGGCAGCTGAGAGAGCCCTGCGTTGGTGGAAATGGAGATGGAGGTGGACGGAGTGAGGGCTGCCGCTGCGGCTGCTGCGGCTGCTGCTGCTGCTGAAGAAGAAGCTGCTGAAGAGGAGGAGGAAGAAGAAGAGGAAGAAGTGCAGTGCGTGGAAGCTAGGAGGTGGCTATGCAGGCGGGACGGGCGCATGGTGTCAATAGGGATGGAGAGACGGTCAGGTGGGGGCGGCGGAGGAGCCAGAGGAGCTTTTAGCTGAGCCTGAGGGAACAGCTGCTGCCAGTGCTGCAGGTAGGACGGGTCCACCTTAAGGAAGGCCGAACCGCTCGGGTCGCCCGGCTTCAGCATGGCTGTCCACTGACTGCTGGGAGGAAACATCAGAGAGAGAGCGGCATCAATCATCAGGATCAAAAAACATATAGAAACATTCAAGAGGTCAAAACATGAAGCGCTGAACATGCAGGGGTTCCAGTTTGTTCACTTCAAACACGGGAAATACAACAAGTGTCAGATTCACTACAGACAAATTTTTTTAATTGTGTGTTTAATTAATTTTTAAAATATTTGACAACTTTAGTGAGACATTTATGACTTTTTAAAAGATAAAATCAGTGCTTTAAGTTACTGCGTTTTTACATAAATCAGTTTTCAGGGACTTAAGAGAGAGCTCGACTCCAGAACTCAACTGATGACCAATGTGTTTGCTTGATTTTTTTTCTGCAGAATTCAGTGTCATTGCTCATTTCAAAATCTACAACAGATCACACCTGATTCACACTTTTTTTTTTTTTTTTTACCAGAAAGCGTTTTGTTTCAAACAATTTATTTTCTGAGGATTCATCCAAAATTACATTTGTGTTAAATTTGTGAGCACATTGAACATCAGCCTGCTGATCGATAATGTTTGTTTTTTTTCTTTACTTTTTTTCCTTTTTCTTGCGTTTTGTAAAAATTGTAAATGTAAAATGGTGCAAATTGCATTGAAATGTTTTAGGTATAAAGTTTAAAATGACAATTTATCAACATTACATGTAGTCTGAGTTTTTTTTATCTATAAATTTACAAAGCAGGTGTTTCACTTTTCTACAACTTTGACTGCAAACCAAATCTCAAATAAATATGTTTCACAGTCTGGCTTCTGCTCTCCTTTCAGTCACCCTAATGTGTTTTTAGGCTTCAAACAAGCTAAAAAGGATAAAATCCGATACAAAATTCCAAATTTAAATTTATATCCGTGTTTATAATTAAAAAAGAGTGAGAGGGTCATGCTTCAGATGTTTTTGGTGATCATGCTGAGTTTGTTCAGTCTTAAATACTCCACTGGTTCAACCTGAATTCTTTCACAGAGGAATTTCAAAGGTGGATGTCCACACTGGTGTGTTTTTTGTTTAAAAAAAAGAAAAGAAAATCTGCAGATCTAAATTCCAATGGTAAGAATTAGGTACGATTCTACACATCTTAAGAAGACATTATTAGAAAGTAGAAAGAGTTTTTATAGTGGTGAATATTGGCGAATATTAAAAAGAGGAAACAATTACATCCACTGAAATAAGCAGACGTAAACGATGTACAAATAAAAGAATCTTCTGTATGACTTAAAATAAAAATGATCTTATAACTGAATTGTTTGCCTCTATTTGCATATTTTTTTCTTCTACGTTTAAAACTCGTGACGAATTAAGTCTCACCAACCAAATAAAAGCATTCAGTTTGGAACATAAACTTCGAACACCAATAAAACACCAAATATAAACTGACTTCTGCCTCCTTCCTCTGCTCCGCTGTCTCTGTTTTCGGATGGTTTGTTTTAGCGCGGATTTTACGCACACCGAGCGCAAAAAAACGCGTTAGAAAAGCCAACAAAAGCCGTTAACGCACTCACGTTCACACTTCCGAGTAGTTTACAGTGTAAACCAGTTCGTGGTGAATAGTTTCATCTGAATAAGTGAGCAGATGATCCGGATAAGTCCCTGGAATCTCGGCGATCTCGCGTGCTGATCAAGTCCAAGCAGAGGCAGCGCTCGGCGGGCAGAGACGCGGAGAGGCTCCGATAGGTTTTGCTTGGAGTTCCCTTTGATGTTTTCCCTTTCTTTTTATAACGTGAAAGTTGGCAAAGCAGCAAAGCCTTACAGTTATCAGAGTGTGTGCGGCTCCTGGGCACCGATTTCCGGGCAGCGGTGGAAGGTTTGTCCCTCCTCCGGGCTGCGGTGAACCATCGAGAGGAGCCGGGACAGTCCGCTGCGTCCAGCGCGTCTCCGGAGCCAGAACTACAGGAGAGTGTTCTACACGAGTCTCTCTCTCCCACCCCCTCTCTCTCCACTTCCATTCACTTATCCTCTCTCCTCCTCTCTCTCCGCTTTTCTCCATAGTCTCTCTCTCTCTCTTTCTCCCTCAAATTCACACGTATCCTTTCTCTCTCACTTCTCTTTTCTCCATCCTCCCTTTTCTCCAAACACTGAGTTTTTACTATCTCCTTCCTTTCCCCCCTTTTATGTCTTTCAAGTCTTCTTTACAGTGCTTTGCTTCAGACTGGACTCTTTTTACTTCATTCAAATGATCTTTATTGACACTATGAACAAATGCCAATATGGTGAAAGCAGCACTGGCTACATGCAAACCTCTGTCATGTGTCTATCAAAGGTTGCTGGTGATTTGTAGTAAATCAGTTTAGCGCACCTTTGTGTGCTAAAGCTTTGAGTTTGGGTGGCTGTAGCTCAGGTGGCAGAGCAGGTTAGCCACTAATCAGAAGGTCGGTGGTTTGATCCCAGGCTGCATCCTGGCTGCATGCCAAATATCCTTGGGCAAGATACTAACCCCACGTTTGCCTACTGGTGGTGGTCAGAGGGCCCGGTGGCGCCAGTGTCCGGCAGCCTCGCCTCTGTCAGTGCGCCCCAGGGCAGCTGTGGCTACAATGTAGCTTGCCATCACCAGTGTGTGAATGGGTGAATGACTGAATGTAGTGTGAGGCGCTTTGGGGTCCTTAGGGACTAGAAAAGCGCTATACAAATGCAGGCCATTTACCATTTGTACAACTAAGCAGTTTTTCTTTAAATCAGTGCAGTTTGGTTCATCAACCAGAGGTAACTGAAAGTTTTTCAAATATCAGTTCAGTACATATACTTTGTTACTCCTGGAGGTCATAACACCCCGTAACCCTAATATAGAAATGCTGTTTGTTCACTAATGTCACTCAAAGCTGACAGAGCAGAATCATTCCACTTCCTACTCATTGCCCAGCAGATTGTTCTTGATGTACAGAATCACAAAAGATTTATAGTTTTTTCCAAAAACAGTACAGATAATGACTAAGTCATGCTAAAGTAAACATCTTTGAACAACATCTTTGCAAATAGGAAAAAATAACTTTCTGGTGACTGGATTTATTCTTTTTTTGCAAGTAGTGTCGGCGACCAACTAGTACCCCAGAGGTGAAAGGTGCTGCATGCTCAGCCTCTGGGGGACCGCAACATGATTACACAGGTCACCTGGTGGGAGGCAAACTGCCATTCTACAGCAACTACATCACTCTTTGTGGAAGAAGTTCAGACTTTCTGTTTCAACTCTATGGGGTTCTAGCTAGATTATGAACATCAGTAGTGAAAGTGAATTTCTGATTTTTTGTGTATGCAGACATCAGCAGACTTGTGCTTTTAACAAATCTGCTACTAATGAGGTTTCACTGCAGCAATGGAGGCTATGTCTACAACCTGGATTCTCTATGTAGACAAGCAATCACATCCATAACCACAAGAGGTCTCTTCTCAGGAAAGATTTTTTTTTAAAATTCGTATAGTTTTTGAGCTTCTTGTCAGTTATTTTTCATTCTCCTCATTCATCCACCGAAGAACTTTCAACAATCTAAAATCTTGTTTTTCTGATATTTATTTTTATTTCTGATCTTATAGGTGGTCATTCTGCCAGTTCAAATCGCTCAGCTTTCATCCACTGTGTGTCTGTGTAATGTATGTATGTGTGTATGTGTATGTATGTGCGTGTGTGTGCGCACGTGTGTACCAGTGAAGATAAGACAGATTACAGCCGAGCTCATTGTGTTTTGGGTCTGACTTGTTATCCATGACCCCAAGCTTTCCCACCCGTCTGCTTCACAAACACGCACATGCACGCACACACACACACACCTACACCTACACACGTAAAGCATACAGTATGTGTGTGTACATCAGTCATTGTAAGCTGCTGTGGATAAGAACAGCTAAGAATCAGCTAAATGCCTGAAAATGTAAATGTGTGTGTGTGTGTGTGTGTGTCAGTATGAGTGTGTGTTGTTATGACTGGCGTCGCCCTGACAGGACCCATTTGTCATCCTCGAGACCTCTGGTGGATTGATAACGAACAAAAACACAAACATAAGCGTCTGAAAATGAACTCTTGTCGGCTTAAAGCGACTTTTTCAGCATGGAGGAATGTGGAGCGGCAACAGCCCGTCTGATTGGCTGAAGCACAAGTTCAGGGTCGACAGTAGCCCGCAGAAAAGCACAGGGTTGGTAGTTCAAATCTAGGGTCTTCTTACATGTAATTTTTCACCTCCAAGGAGGTAGGTCCTTATTGTTAGGAGATTGGGTTTTTTTTAACGTGGACTCAAAAAGGCAATTTTAATCACAACATCAGTCAAAATGTCCTTGTATGGTTGGTTGTTCAATTTGATGAAAAAGGAATATTGTTTTAACAGTGAAGGAAGCCAGCAGCACTGCAGCCCAATCCCACTTCTTTACTTCCTTTTTCAGTGATTTGTGTGTCTTGTTCTAAGGAATTAGCTGTTAGTCACTGCTGAAGAGTCAAATCGCTGGCATGACACTTCCTTTTAGATCTAAGGCTTTTCTTTTTTTTGCATCCAAATGAACAATACCGATTAATTTTTAGTGCTGAGTTTTAATAAAACGAAGAAATCCATAAAGCTGGGAAAAAACAACCTGAGCATTATTGTTTACATTTCAGTGACTTTTTAGACTTCCTGCTCCTGGCAAAAACTATACAACTATACTAGTGAACAAAAAATATTTGGTGCATTTTACATTTTGAGTTTAACTGCTGGCCAAAAATGTCATGATTATAATAGTTAATATTAGTTTTACACTTACAGATTAATTTGTTCAATGTTAATAAACTACATTTTACAATGCTAGCACTTGTCTCAGATTTGTTTTTATTTTATACAACAATAACAATGCACAAATATATAAAATTAAAACTCCACATTCCTATTGGAGAATTACAACACCTCATAGTTGCATAGACGAGAAATTCTTTTCATTCAGTTTTCATTCTTATCTATATAAAAATAAATAACTGCAGCCACAAAACAACATCAGCTGAGTTCTTCAGTCTATGAGCTGAACTTCCTTTGGTACACTGAGCAGGAAATTGCGCCCTCTACCAAATATGTTTATTTTGGTCCTAGCTTACTTCGCCACTAAATAATTGTCTGGGACAAAAAGAGCCCAGTGTGAGGAAAACGAAGCCCCAAATGCACCTTTAAAGACGTCAGAGATGATCTGAAAGTTCACTTTACTATTTTTTTCTCATGTTCCTTATGTTCTGTTATGAATTATTGTAAGAATTTGTAATTTATCATAACATTTTACATTTAAATGCTGGCTTCCTCTTCACTGTGCTCGCTGTGTACAATAGTCAAAAAGCTACACTTTGTGCATTTGTTCATCATAGTTTTTTGCCCTCTTGTGTGTACAGACTGTTGACTGACAATATATTGTTTTAACTTGTTCATAAACATTACCAATGATAAGATAGTGGAGGTATTTCAATGTGAGATCAGAAAATTGCACATAAATAACACACCGCTTCTGTCATGTTTTGGTTGTTATACTGAGGTCGTTTGTGGTGTTAAATGAGAAAAACGTTTAAAAAAAACCCACACAAAGTAATGGTAAATGTGAATATTATTCCTACTAACACTTGTTATTGTCATTGTCAACTGTTTAATTTCATCTTTGAAAATGAATTTTTAGCATTTATTTTCATCCAGTTATGATATTGTAACACCATTCACTGGAACAAATTCATAATATTTAATATAAAGGTCTTTTTAAACATCAGCATGACTCCCACTTTAAGCTGAACTGAAGCTGTGGTGTTTGTTTTTATCATTACAAATGTAACATTGAAGCAAATGTTCCCTAACCAGCAGATATAAATGATGAATTCATGGTGCTTTTTATTCTAAATGTACATTTCTTATATTTCTTCTCCATCACCAGCATTTTTAGTTCATAGTTTTGATTCGTCTCCATAATGCCACGGGGGATTTTCCATTCCAGACAGAATGCATAAAGAAAGAAAAGAAAAGGGGGGGGAAACAGAGCAGGAGTAGAATTAGGTGTTTTCATCCATTGATTAATGACTTTCTAAAGCAAAGCACATCGAAAGGAGCCGGACGATCAATAAATTAACTGCCCAAATTCATCATTTTCTACAACAAAAGCTAATTATTTAGACGGCTGCAGGAAAGGAAAAAACACAATATAAACAAGAGTTCATTTAGCAAAGCTGTGTATTCCTGCATGTGAGAACATTGCAGGAATGCAAGAGGAGTTTCATTTTCAACAGCGACATGGACGCAGTTTAACTTTAGATTACAATTATTTAAAAAACATGCAAACTCAGATATGGCTGTACAATAACTGCGCAGTAATGTATATTAAAGGATAAAAGATAAGTGTAAATAGAACCGATACAAATGAGTGGCAGCAGACCTCGGACGAGAATCATCCTATGAATGTAGCCATCCATGGAAAATATGAAAACTGTCCACTGCAGTTACCTCCTTTGATTCTCATGCTGTACTTTTGATTGTTGATGTATTTTATTTATTCATGTATTTATTTATTGAGTTGTTGTTTTCTCCTTGGCACACGGGTACATCTTAGGCCCCTGAGGGTTCTTATCTATATCAGAAGTTCTGACATCATCTTGTTACCTAGCAACCACCTAGCAATGAGCTAAAATGGCCCATTTTCTGCATTTATTCAGCTATAACCTCATAAAAGCAGTGTATCATTTTTATTTCTTAACAATAACATCTAATTTTTAAAATTTCTCTCAGTGTGATTAAGTATATCAGTTTGCCAACAGCACAAACAGGCCAAGCACGAGTGTTTTTGAAAAAAAAGATTGCTTACAATGAGATGCTTGAAATTAATGAAGTGAATAAGAGTCTTCTCGTGTATATGGCACAGTCCCTGATACCAGTGAATATAACTTACACCACTGATATGTTGATATAATGGCATAACTACATGCAATAATTTATATTGTCTTTAAATATAAAGTTGCTTCCAGAGAGCAGACTTCATGGTAAAAATGGCCACATGAGGACATCCTCATATAGATTTTACACAACATTTTATCTACTGTGTTACTAACGAGGTCATCAGCCTGAATTCTCTATGTAGACACGTAATCACATTTATGACCACAAGAGGTCTCTTCTCAAGGAAGATAAAAACACTTTTAGTTTTTAGTTTGTTTGTTTTTTTAGAGTTTTTGAGCTTCTGTTCCTCCTGTTGAAGGTGAGCTCAGTTGTCACTCCTTTTGCTCTTCCAGCACAGTTTTTAACCCCATCTGGATCGGACAGCGTGTCACCCACGTTGACTTACATGCTGTTCGTTATGTGCATGCACATTATGTATGCAAGCAAGGTTGGAAATCCCTTTGTGTAGGCTCTACGCAGGCAAAAAGACCAGTCGTACCATAAATTCTACATTTGCCCCTCCTGAAAACTGAACTCAATGCAGAACTGCCTTAAACGTGTGTCTTTCTAATGGACAGCAGGTGAAGATCCTTCTGGTAACAGAAACTCTAAGAGAAAACCCAAATATTCACTTGACTTATGACCTCAATAAAGATTCTTCTGTTTATAAACCACTGAGAGGGAAGATAGTTTCTTTGAAAATGTGTTTAATTAGATCTATGCATGTTACACATGGGTTCATAAAATAGTTATATTTATTTCAGATTTGATGTATTTGGGTTAAAACTGTGTTAATTTAGTAAAACAGCTGCAGGAATTCAGCTGAAATAAAAACTATTTTATTGAACAACCTAATTTATAAAAATAGCACCAAATGACAGTATGAAAGGTCAACATAGCTTTTGATTCTGAAAGTGAAGCCAACACTAAAATGGCTAGCAGGGGCCAACATGGCATTTTAGCAGTTGTATCATTTTTATGGGAAACGTGGCCTCAGATTTCTTGCTCTGTGAATAGAACAATGTGTCAATTTTCCAATTTATGGTTATTATTAGAATCAGAAAGGAGAATTATTGAGGTTATGCTAATTGACTACACATTGACTTACTTCCCATTAGTCAGCAAACATGGGGTGTCCTTGGTTTCATAGTCAGCTTCACACCTCACACGTGAAGTCTAGTTTGATCATCCTATATTGCCTATGAGTACTAATATGAAAGACTACAGCACAATGCAAAATGAAGGTCCCAAACTGCTGCCAGGAACACCTAGTAGTTTAAAAAACAAAACAGTGCTTTAATAGAAACACTATTAATAGAGGGGATTTTTTGTGCCCCAGGCTGGTATGGAAGTACTTGTGATGCACACTGTCCCAAAAGCATTTTCCCACTGTTGAATTATTCCCAAGTAAATTGACCTCAGGTTTTGCTTTACAAGTAAAACGTCAATCCATCAATCCAACAAGTTTTCAAGTATCAGACAATTATTTCAGTTGACTTAGTTTCACTTAAAGGAAGTCAGAGTATGACTAATACTCAAGCTCTATGGGTTCCATTTCAACTGCCTTTACACAACCCATCAGTGACAGAGAGAAATCAGACAAAATGATCAACCAATCAAATCTTGATTTGTTGATAAAAACGATCATCTAATTTACTTGTAATTAATATGGCTACGAATCACTCTTGTGGCCATTAAAGTCTGGAGATGTTTACAGGGTTCGCTTCCACTATTGGTTGATTGAAGTCTTACTGGTTTAAATGCATGGAGCCAATTAGTACACAAGTGGTGTTAATTCAATTAAAATGTTTGTAGTTACGCTGTGCAACACACACACACATGCATATGACTAGGCTGCTGTGACCTTGGTATAAACCCACATGTAAACCCACAGGTTTAAAGCGGTGTCACTTTCATTTACATAGGAGCATGTTGTTAAGGTCCTGCTTTGACATTCAATTAAAACGTTTACATTTCTGCTTAATTAATTCGGCGGACGGCGGCAGGAAAAGACGAATGGACGGGCTGCTTTGACAGGAGGCCGATAACCGTGTGTGTTTGTGTGTGTGTGTCCCTGCTGTGGTGTTAAGGTCACGGCAGGCTGACTATTATAATTCATCTCTATAGACATGTATTCAGCGGGGACTTATATTCTCTTTTTCAGCTTTATTTCCTGCAGCTGAAGCCAAGCCCAAGCAGACCTGAGGTGTTTTTAATGCAGTAAAGTATTTTAAAGATAAAATACTCTGCTGTATGGACTTCATTATCCTTCATTTAGTGTTAAAAACGAGCCACTGCACCTTATAGATCACTGCATGCTGGAAAATGCAACTCTTTGTCAATTAGTCAAGAAAAATATAATCCTCTGAGCTACAGAATCTTTTTTCCCTGTTTTGAGGTATTATTATTCTCATTGGAAGATAGTAGCTTGTGTCTTTAGATTTTTTTATTCTGTATATTAGACAATCTTACAGAAACATATATAATTCATCTATTCTTTAACATACATAAAGAGCCCTGCATAATTTCCATAAAACTTTTATTATTAATGACACACATAGCAAAGTGAACTTAAGTGAGAAATAAGATGCTCACTATAATATGTGCTATATGTCATGTGTCTGCACTGTATACATGATTATCATAGAAACGGACATGCCAATGTCACCTGTGTCAAATATATGGTGCATCCAGATATACGTTATAGCTAGTTGGATAACTACCTCCTGTGTTGGCTTTATGGTATCTGACGAAGAAATCAAAGGGATACTGCACCCTAACATATTAACACTAATTACTTACAAGGTAACTTTGCACTTACGTTTACCCCGCTTTGTTGTTTAGTTTACTTTAAATGGGACCAACAGTTACAATTTGAACATATTTTTGTATTGAAGAAAGGTTTGAAACTAGCGACTGACACCACAAACTCATCGTGAAAGTGTTTTCTGAAGTCACAGGTGGGAAAGGCTGGCAGTGGAAGAAAACTCATCTCCTGTTGGTCAACAGAAAGAATACATGTTTACATTGCCTTCACTACTTCACTACTCAAACACAGATGCTTCATCCATCTTATATATACAGTCTATCACTAATATAAGCACAGATTTTTATTACACATTTTTGCTGTTTTGAAATCTGTGTAACAACCCAGTGGAGGATTTGACTATAAACCACATGTACACTGACAAACAACTTTCTGATCACAAGTCATTAGCCAGTATGCATACTCTGCATTATCCTCCTTCATGACACTATATCATCATAAACTATAATCATCAAAATTGGGTTTAATGTTTTATTCAACATTAAACCTCTTTCTCAAGTCGTAACATTTATTTTTCTCTGCTATTCTTGTTTCCTCTTCAGTCTCGTCTTTTCCTTTCACTCTGTCTGCTCTCCTCTCCCTCTCAGTAGGCAGGTCTTTGGTCCAGACTCAGCCCACAGGGGGGAGTGGTCTTATGATGTAGCCGGGTTATGAGCGCCGTTCCCCGGCCAGCCTTCCAGCTGTGACTTGCTGTGACTGCCTCTTTATCCTCTCGCCCTTTCGGCGGTTCTCGCAGCAGGGGCCTGTCTCCGCTAATCAAAGATGGAGCTCCGGACGAGCCTCCCCGCTCTCCTCTTCCTCTCTGCCGTCGTCCTGCAGTCGGTGTCCGGCGCAGTTTCACGGACAGGACCGAAAGTCACAGAGAAGGTGGGTGCAGATATTTTGCCGCATTTATTTGCATTAATCCAAAATCGCGTAGGCTTCTTTTCCGCGTGCTCGAGCTGCATCTTCTCGTGGGTTCACGGCGATCCCGCAGAAGTGCTGTACTACAGGAAGGGCACGCGCGCACGGTCACCCGGAGTGCGAGGGGAGACGTGTCCGGTAACGATAGGAGGCCAAGGCTTCTGTCTCCGTGATTCTTCGAGAATATGTGGGACACACACACACGCACACACACACAGCTGTATACGTGTCCATTGAGATTAACTTAATGCGCAATGCGTTTGTCCGCAGGCGAACACACGCGCACACTCTTAGATAAATGTGTGACCTCCTTATTCTGAGGCTGTAATAAACATGCACAAACCCTGAAAAGACATGAGCCACCCAACATCTGCAAAAGCCATCTGTTAAACTCACACTCGGTTATTCAGCCACATTCCTGCTTTTACTTTGAAATTCATTTAAACATGGAGCTCGTGCATGAAAGTGTATAAAGCACCAGTGATTTTCAATAAAATTACCCGTATATCACCCGGAATGCCTTTGGCTATTTTTTTTGACTGCAGGATTATTCTCTTCTGTGCATTTACAGTTGCATCTACATACATCAGATTTCTTACATGAGGAACATTTGGTGTCTAAGTGTCTTTAGCTTTTCTGGCACCATGTTGGTATTGGCTAACCTCTCAAAAAAGCTTGATATACTTGGGTTGAGGCCTGTTGACATCTTGCACAGATACAGACCATAAGACAGGCAGCACTTCTTTTCTTTATTTGGTTTCTTCTCAGTTTTCACCCTTGTTAGCCTCTTTAGTGTCAATTGTAACCTTTGATGTTAAATACTCTTTCAATTCTCACCATACACCAGGTGTGCCAAGGAGTGGATTTATTATTATTATTATTATTATTATTATTATTATTATTATTATTATTATTATTATTATTATTATTATTATTAAGATTGAAAAGCTGCATAAAACCCAGACCTGAACTTTTAGAACCATTTTGCAAACACTGTGTTAACATATGTGGAGCTCAAACCCTGGTGTACTCTAAGGCGATGTTAAGGACCTTCTTTGAACAGCCATGAGATCCTGTCTTGACATTATAGCTGTTGTATTTCTTTTATACTGTGCTTAAAGGGTGCATAGCTCTAATTAAACCACACATTTCTGTGATATGATGTTCTAAAGTAGGAGCTCTGGTCAGTTTTTGGAGCCACAGAAACCTGATACTTAAATGCAACAGAGATGGCAGAGGGAAACTGACTCCCTATTACGGCTGATACGGCCTCTGGTTGCAAAGGAAAAGTAGCACGCTTACATATAGACACAGAGGATGAGTGCTCAGTATAAACTCAGAGTTAAGTTTGCATAAGAGCATGGAAGTTTCTTTTGACTAAATTAATGTTGACAAGTTTTATCTGAACCTCTCCAGCTTATCAGATGGAGATTATTCCTTTGGCGTCATGTTTACAAGTGCTCCTACTATTTGCAACAGTGGGATGTACATGAATGATCTTCTAACTTCAGACTATAAAAAGTAAATGTAGGTGACTGCTAAATTCACATGGTATCTTGAACTCAGTCTCTTCAGGTGAATATGGCTTCTGGAAATGGGTTTATTTTAGGTAAGGTCATTATCTTGAAAGTGTGTACAAGAGGAATGGCACTGGATGACGACTTGCTTGGTTTTCTGTTTTCACAGAAGCGTAGTTCGTCATCACATGTCTAGAAAAGTACATGGCTGCAGTACATGTGTGAAATGATGGCCATTAGTGAGCTGATTGGATGACAATACATTGTATGACGTTTTATTAAATGACAGCTGTTTTGTTTTCCAGGTATTTTTTGACATAACGGTGGGAGGTCATGAGGTGGGACGGATCGTCATTGGTCTGTTTGGAGAGGTCGTCCCTCTAACAGTGAATAACTTTGTCGCACTGGCAACTGGAGAGGTAGGATGATGTTGGACAAATACACATTTCCACGCACACTGATGTGATTATGGTAGATATTCAGCAGCCACTTCAACTGATACACCTTGCTAGTACTGGGTTGGAACCTCTTTTGCCTTCAGAACAGCTTGAATCCCTTGTGGCAAAGATTCAACAAGGTACTGGAAACATTCCTCAGAGATCTTGGTTCATATTGTCATGACAGTTTCATCCTTGATTTGAATTTCCCATTCCACCACATCCTAAAGGTGGTCTGTTGGACTGACATCTGGTGACCTTTGAGTGAATTCATTCTCATGCCCAAGAGAACAGTTTAAGATGATTTTAGCTTTCTACCCTGTTGGAAGGAGCCATCAGAAAATGGGTAGACTGTGGTCAGCAACAATATTCTGTGTTGTGGCTGTGGTGTTAAAGCAAGTGCTCAGTTTGTATTGGTGGGGGGGCAGGCAAAGTATGCCAAGAAAATATTCCCCCACGCCATTAAACTGCCACCATCAACCTGAACTGTTGATACAAGGTACATCCAAATATTGTAGCAGAAACCAAGACTTATTTAAGCAGGCAATATTTTCCAACATTGGAAAAATACAATTGAATCCTGCACGGTCTTCTGCTGCTGTAGCCCATCTGCTTCAAGGTTCAGCAATCTGTAAATTCAGAGATACTCTTCTGCATACCTTGGTTAGCTATTCGAGTTACTGTTGCCTTTCCAGCAGCTTGAAGATGTCTGGCTATTCTCCTCTGGCATCTAAAAGGCATTTTTGCCCAAAACTGACGCTCACTAGATATTTTCTCTTTAAACACTGGAAATGATTTGGCAGAAACAATCCAGTAGACCAAAATACTCCAGTACAACGCAAACAACCATGCCACATTCACTGAAAGCAGCTTTCTTCCTCATTCAGTTGCTCTGATGCTTCGTTCGAACTTCAGCAGTCTCCATGCCTAAATGCACTGAGCTGCTATCACGAGACTGGCAGATGAAATATGTGTGTTAGCAAGTATTCAACAGGTGTAGCTAATGAAATAATCAGTGAATGTACATAATCTTTACAAATTAATATGTCAAATACAACATGCATGTGAATAGACAAACAGATGAAAACACACACATAAAATTTAACGGTAGTGATGGCGATTAAATGTAGCCATCATCATAACCACAACATGTCAGTCAGGACCCATAAAGGCCTCAGAAAGTTAGAAATTAGCGTTGACATTGTTTCCAAGGTTACTTGTACAACATGTTTATATTTTAAGTTCTATATAATGTTTGGGACATACAAATGTATCCACAGGTGGAAAAATCTAGTTTTCACATCGATCAATTCTTCTTTTTTTTGTTTTGCAGTTTCATAATTGTGTATCACTCTTGATGCACAGTGGTCTTTGTGTTGCAGCATTATGTTTTTACATGTCTCTGCAGAAAGGTTATGGGTACAAAGGGACAAAGTTCCACAGAGTCATCAAGGATTTTATGATCCAAGGAGGAGATTTCACATCTGGTGATGGGACTGGAGGTGGGAATGAAAGACAAAGTTGTACCTACACATTAAATTTAAACCTTTTTCATTTTAGGAAAAAAAATCCACCCGAGCTTAACTGAATCTCTTTTTTTTAAATCTAGGTCACAGCATTTATGGAACAACTTTTGCAGATGAGAACTTCAAACTGAAGCACCTTGGAGCAAGCTGGGTGAGCACACTCTCACTAGCAATTCATGTATTGGAGAATAAGGTAGTTGACTCAAACCTAAATATGACAAGTTATGACATGACGTAACAAAGAGTTGTGTGTGTAATTGTGTACTAGGTGAGCATGGCAAATGCTGGGCCAGACACCAATGGGTCCCAGTTCTTCATCCTAGCTTCCAAAGCTCCGTGGCTGGATGGGAAACATGTGGTTTTTGGCAAAGTCCTGGATGGGATGGTGGGTGGAACTTAAGATTTTTTTCCATTAATCTTTTTCTTACATCTGGTTGCAGGGGAGGAGAAGGTGTGGGTTTATTTGTGCAAATGTGTCCTGACTGTGAAATAATCTGTTAACAGCCTGCAGGGTGAGCGGTGTGATACACAAGTGGGCCTCTGAGCAGAATCTCAAAAAACGTCAGAGATGCATAAAATGACCTCAGTGACAGCAGAGAACTAAAAACAACCCCAAGAGAAAATTAAAACAAAGCCAGAACAAATTAAGCATAAAATATATGAACAGAAATAGAGATGGGAAACTGTCAGATTGCCAACCAACCAATATTACATGCTGAAATGTTTTTCTTTTCTTTTTATGGTCGTCTTTGTGCCCTCTTAGATGGACCTAAAATGTTGTCCAGACTTTAATTTGTAATTGGCAAAAAAAAAAAGCCTAATAATAATTGAATGGGTGGAAAAAGGCAGAAGCAAGGTGTCGACGAACTTGCTGTCCCATTCAAAACATGTCAAAACATGTCAAAACATAAACAATTCAGCTGAATGAGCCATAAATGGAGATCAAAATAAGAATGACCAGCAAGATGAAAAATGACACTAAAGAGAAGCATTTGCATGTAATGCACAAAACTCCAAATTAATACAAATTGCACCTAAGAGACATTAAATAGCTGCATATTCTCACAAAACTGGACCCTCCTACTTAAAAAGGATAGCTGGGGTAGGCATTTTCCTGTCTGCTCAGAGGGCTCATAAAGTTCTGTTTCCTTCTCCCTTTTTTATTTATTTATTTATTTTTCTATTTTTTTTAAAAAAAGAGTACTGATGTTTGAATAATATTAGCTGAATACAGCTGGCATGGGAGGACTCTAGTTTTCAGGAAGCCCGAAGACTCTTCACTGAGAGCTAATGAGTTACTTTCTTTAATAGTTTGTACATTTAGTAAGCTCACATTTGATTCTTTTAGTCCTTGTATTTGTTCTGAAAGGTCTGCCACAGGCGAACTAGTTTCTTGTATAGATTCAGGAACTCCACCCGTACAGGAAATAATCCAGACTTGGGCTGCATTCAGCAGGAGCAAAACTTGGCAAAGCATTAAATCAAGTAGAAGATTTTAATCTTGAGGTACAAGGAAGCAACAAAAGAGATGAGCACAGGTATGCAAAGGCTATAGCTAGGGAAGGTCAGTATTAGCAATGTTCTGAGGTGTGGGGACTCAGCAGAGGGCAGGAAACTATTACTTAGGTTTCTAAAATTTACTTGGCTTTCTCTGAGAGTGTAGTAAAGTCAAAGTGCTGAGAAAATAATGAGTGTAATGTAACAAGGGACAGAATAAGATAAGTACTACACATGGAAGCGGAAAATATGTTTTAATTTGGCAGGTTTTGTTCATCATTATCAGACTGAATCTGTCCTGGGTAGAAGAAGGTAGGAAAGGAAGGACATTTTCTAATCGTGTGCTGTAAAGGATTTCTGATTTTAGAGATATTGTGCAAATGGAAGAAAGAAGTCCTACTTGTTTGTTTAGTATGTGCATTGAAGGACATTTCCTGGTCAAAAATGACTCCAAGGTTCCTCACGGTAGTACAGGAAGCCAAGGTAATGCCTTTCGAAGTAAAAATAGGGTTAGATACCATATTTCTACGATCTTTAAGGCCGAGTACAATAACCTCAGTTTTATCGGAATTAAGAAGCATGAAGTTAGCGGCCATCCAGGTCTTTATGTCTTTAAGACATTCCTGCAGTTTAACTAATTGGTATGTGTTATGGTCAAATTGGAGTATATTAGATAGATATGATTCAAACCACTGCAGCGCAGTACCTGTAATGCCTACAGCCTGCTGTAATCACTGTAATAAAATATAATGATCAGCACTGAGGTCCACTGTCAGAGGCCATAAGAAGATCATTTGTAACGTTCACTAAAGTTGTTTCTGTGATGAGCTCTGAAACCTGACTGAAACTCTTCAAATAAGCCATTCCTCTGCAGATGATCTTTTAGCTGTTTGACAACTACTCTTTCATAAAGTTTTGGGATAAAAGGAAGGTTGGCGATTGGCTGCACCGAAAACCTTCTAGTGATTGCTTTGATTCCTATCAGATTTCTGCATTTATCTGTAGTTTTCTATTTTTGGCTGCAAATACTTGCTAATTAATAGTATAAATGTGACAAAGTGTGAGAATATTTGCAGTTGTTTTAACCCCACAGCCAGTATGTTTAAAAAGGTGCAATTTTTCTTTGAAGGCTTTACTTTCAAAGTACTTTATTTCCGGTTTGGGTCGTACTTTCCATAGTTTTATTAAAGCTCCTGAGAATAGCAAGACATTGTTTGCAAGTCCATCACTTGCATTCCAACTAAGAACACAAGAATTAGGGAATGTCCGTTTTTTTGGGGGGGGTTTTTTCCCCCCTCACAACCTGTGGTTACCAGATGGTCAAATGTTAGTTTTAAGACCTGTGTGAATGGGACTTTAACGACTTGATCCGTTGTCATGTGTTTAGTGGAAATACTGCACTGCATGTTAAAGGTGACACCTAAAACAAACTGATGTGTGATTCACTGTCACTAAAATAAAGTATCTAACCTGCTTCTGTGGATCTCCTTTTGCAGGCTGTGGTTCACACCATTGAGCTTCAGGACACCAACGACAGGAACCTGCCATACACAGAGTGTGTGATCGTCAACAGTGGCAGGATCCCTGTTAAAGAGCCCTTCGTAGTGGAGGTGGAGGGCTGGTAAATGCCAATGGTGCAAGACTGTCTGTAGGAGAAATATATTAATATTTATATATTAATCATTAGTCCCACTGAAAGCGTGCCTATTATTATTATTATTATTATTATTATTATTATTATTATTATTATTATTATTATTATTATTTATTTATTTTTTATATTCCTTTCGTATGTTAACATGCTCTTTCTGGGGTGCTAGCATGTTGGATTGGGTACTTTTTAACACACTTATAACTAAAAAAGTCTGAAAATTTCACCAAGCAAGCTCATACAATGGGAACATATTAACTCACAAGCTAATGTTTACATGCTAACATACACCAGTGGCTAATGTTAACTAAGAGGTACTATACATATTAAGTATTGTAATTCTTAACATGTATATTAATAATGAGCTTGCTAATGCTACCTTGCTAGCATTTAGCAATTGTGGGTCAAGTAGTTAAAGTAGATCGTGACTTCTGATTGATTTCCATTGTATGCAGATGTAATAAAAATTGGAAATTTCTATTAAGTTATTAACAGAAATCGTTACAGTAGCTAAATAACAGGTGTTAACTTTCTGAGAAAACAGGAAAACCCTTCAAAATAAGGTGTTAAACCTGGATGCCAATGTACAGGTTCAAATATTAGTATTAGCTTTGTATTAGTATTAATTAATTGTTATTAATATTCATATTAATTTGTCATTCTTAGACCATCAAATGGAAGCTTTACATTTCCGAAATGACCCATTTCAAAGTCGTTGCAGGGAAAAGGAAAAACATATCAAAACCTCAAAACACAAAGTCTTTAACAGAGGAGTCGTGGCAGTGTGTGAGTCGATGTGTTCAGTATTTATCAGGTTCACTGTGGTAAATGCTAATGGTTTTACACATTAGTATACTTCAATACTTTACGTGGATGATGCCAGTTAGTATCATCTAGTATTAGTAACAAATAATGAAGACACTGTATAATCTGCCATCAGAAACACTTATGTAGCATTTGTTGCCAAATCATTCTTTCTTTGCCAAATGCATTTCCTATGCATCTATTTGATAAATATCAGAATTTTAAAATCCGTTAACATGCATATGCAAAAAATATGTAGCACATGTCAAGTGCCAAATGTTTTTTGTTTTTTTTAACATTGCATCACTGTAAACATAGAATTTGCATTGTGCTTGGGAATACATTATGCACCATATCATGTTTGCAGAAACTACAGCACAAACTGCACAGGATGAAATGGTTCAAAAATTGTGAAAATGAGTTCTGTACGGACGCTTTTCAGTGACGTTGGTGAACTGTCACAGTTCTTTTGTAATGACCCCAAAACTGTCATGGTAACATACTGTAGAACATATTCTTGTGCCACTGCAGCTAATACAACATTTAAACCTCTTCAAGAAACTTTTTTTTTTCTTTATTTCAGCAACAATAAAGGAAAGTGCCAATGAGTATGTTTTCTACAATAAAAATGTTATTGCAAAACAACCAGAACTAGTCTTTATATTTGTTACTTCTTGTGTCTCTAGCTTTTCACCATTCGCCTACCATCAGCCATCAGCTGATCCTCTTTGCTACTTCAGGTAGCTGTACTGATGAATTCTGTGTCATATCAAGTGGAACAATTGAGAAGCCACTAAATTATAATAAAATTAACATTATAGCCACTACATTGTAAATCACATTTTGGGTTTTTTGTAAGCCCCTAACATAAATGACTGTTTAGGTAGTTTTTGACACATGCTACGAACACGACCCCAAAAATATACAACAATATACCACCTACAAGCAGCAAAAGCATAAAAGTCCCTTTTTAAAAACTGTAATTCGGATTAAATATGCTTATCTCATATGGATTCTGATGTGGTGAATTTTTATATGACAATGAAAATGGCTTATTGCTTGCTGCACAGATGTTGGTAAGAGCCCATTCAATCCACACATGCAAAGAGACTAACCATACATGCTCATATATTAAGTTGTGTAACAATGAGAAATGACACAGAAAAAGTATTGAACACATGGAGAAAAGCAGGTGCAAAAAGGTATGGAAAGTCACGACACTAGCCAAAGTCTATCAGTAATTAGAAAGCAATCCTGCCACTTTGCATAAATTAATATCAGCTGGTTCAGTCCCAACTGATGGCCTATAAATAAGTGTCACACATAAAAACTGAGCTCAAGACCATCACAGCCTTATTTTTGCAAAACACACTGATTGTGACTGACACTGATTACAGAAGATTTTCCAGTGAGAACTGTTGGTGCCATAATCCGGAAGTGGAAAGACCATCATTTCACCATGAACCGGCCACGACCAGGTGCTTTTCACAACATTTCAAACAGAGTAGGGAAAATAATTATCAGAAGAGTTGTCCGAGAGCCAAAGGTCACTTGTGGAGAGCTATAATTATTTCAAAGAAAACAATAGGGAAAGCACAGCCCATAGCCTCTATGCACGCTCACCGTGCAAGACTCAATTGCTGAAGAAAAAGCATACTGAAGCACGTTTAAAGTGCATTTAGACAAGCCTGTAAAAACTGGGAGAATACAGTATATACACCATGTTTGGAGGTCAAAAGGTATCTCACCTTAAAAACATCATATCAAGAGTGAAGTTTAGAGGTGGGAGCGTCATCATGTAGGGCTGTTTTGCCAGGAAATGGCACAAGCACGCTTCATATAATTGATATAATTGTGCTGTATATTAAACCCTACGGGTGGCTGTTTGAGGAGCGTTGCAGTTAAATGGTGTAATTATAGTTGGTAAAAGGTGAAGCTGCAGCGGAAGGCCGAGAGCTGACAGCTGATCTCTCAGCACTGACACAAAACTGCTGCTAATGAGAACTACAGCGGGTGATTTGTTTTCCCCTGTTCTACAACATATACACATACACACACTGATACAAACAGATAAACACACACGCACACACACACGCAGGGGGGAAAACATCTTCGAACACAAAGGTCAAAATGGAGCAGAAATCTCTGGAGGAAGACAGGAAGTCGACAGAAAACAATGAAATATATCACAGCCGTCTGCTCAAAGCCTCCCGCCTTCTGAAAAATCAGACCTTCACAAATTAACAAAATAAGAAAATAATTTCACTGACACCTGTTTATAACAGAGCAGCTAAAGATGAACAGAATATGGGAGAGGTATTTAAATAATCAGAAAGGTCGTTGGTTTGTTTGCTCAGATTGTTCACATTCATTTCCTGTCATGTTTCTGGTTTTTTCATTTGATTCTAAATGTCATTAAACCTACACGTTTTATCTCGCCACAATTCAACAGTTACCATAATAGATTACGTCTAAAATTAACTAAAATTACTGCTTAAACATGACACCGAAGATTGATTTCTTTGAGCTGTGGAATATTGGATACTTTGTCATAGAGAAACATATTTTTGTGATTTCTTACAATTTCTTGTCTACCTCATTCTTTCCGATTTCCTGGTTTTGAACTTCAAATCAGCTCTGTAAGTGGTGTAAAACTGTTTCAATTTTTACGAAACAGATCTTACGGCCTCATTGTGTTTCTGAGATTATGTGCTGCTTGGATTATTCTTTGGTCTCTTTGGTTTCTTTGCTCAAACTCTGTGGTCTGCTAAAATTGTCAAGCAGAGAGCAATGAGAGGCCAGAGTGTTTTTAGAGACCACAGTATAAGAAGAAACGAGGACTATCCTCTGATTACAAAAACAAATCAGACTGTATCACAGTCCCTGCAATTACCCTGCTTCAGTCAAAGTTTTTGCTTTGATTTATCACCTTGGTAAAAACTTCTTGATGAGCTTATGGTTTCAGTCTTTTTTATAAAACCTGATTAATTTGAACCTGGTTGATTTTCTAAATTATAATCCCATTAAGAGGTAAATTACACATTACAGAACTACTTCACATGTGGAGTCTAAAAACCGCCTGGTTGAAATAATGGTGGTCGTGTTTTTTTTTCTATGTGTACTGCATGTCTTATTTTGTCCATTTGTTATGAATTCATGAGTAGTTTTGAATGATTAAAATTTGAGGACATGTAAATCCTGGCTTCAAGTTTCGATTCTTTTATGTTTTCAGTACTTAGTCACGCTGCTACAGTGCATATCAAGCTGTAAAGATGACTAATAAAGAAATTGTGGAAACTTAGACGTGCCTTAAGATTCGCTTAGGAAATCCAAACCTTCATTCATCTCATAATTTTGTTAAACGATCATCTGTAGATGCTTAATTGTATGTGAGCAAAAAGTTTTCCATTTGAAACCAGTTAAAACAACTTTTGTAATTTAGAAACCGTTCTGACCTGCAACTCACTGTCAGCGAATTAAAGGTAAATAGAGACATTTAAAATAATATATTTTAAAGGTTTGAAAGCCACTATGTGCTAATAAAATAAATAAGGGCTCTGCTGGTAGCCTGTAAGACTGGAAGCTTATTTTAGATGTAATATAAACTCACTCAGAAATGTCATTTTTTGATCCTGTTACTTTCCGCTCTGTGAAACTTCTCAGCTGAGTCTATATTTGCTAGCTGGGTTGTTTTATTTTTCCACAGGAACACCAGGTGAGACGACGGACAGATGGACAAACTACCACCTTAAACATCCACCACCTCTACATCGGCACGCCGTGGAGAAACCCCTTTCTGTTTGTCAGCCGATATAACAAGACTGGCTGAACCCAGCGAAGGAGCCGAGAGCCGGAGATAGAGGGGGGTTTAGGAGGACGGAGGAGAGAAACAAAACACGATAGAGAGACACAGAGGGAAAGAGACAGAGAGGCAGAGGACAGAGAGAGAGAAAGTGGTGGTAGGTTTTTAAATGGTCCAGAGGGATACGTGTCGAGGAGAAGGAGGAGGAGGAAGAGGAGGGGAACGAGGGGATGCTCCCACAGTGACTGCTAGTTGTTATATTGGGGATCTGTTAGTGGATCAATGAAAAAAGAAAGAAAGAAAAGAGAAAGAGGGAGGGAGGCTGCGTGGAAGGATGACAGGCCTCATTACCACCAAACCTCAGACAGTGATGCCTCTGTGTGTGTGTGTGTGTGTGTGTGTGTGTGTGTCTGTGTGTGTGTGTGTGCGCGCGTGCATGTGTGTTTCT